GTACTTTGACGTAAATCCATTGGAACTATAATTCCAATTTGTTATATATAAGTAACGACATCTGGCGAAAAACAGCGAGAATACATTCATAGTCCCAATATAAAATGCTAACGTTTTCGGAAACAATGTTTCCATCATCAGGCGAGCTATAAAGCTTTGAGGATGAGGCGACTATAGAGGATGCGACCACTACTTATGCAAACAACTTGACTTGTTACATTGTAACAGCAACTATATAGAAGTCAATTACTACACACGCATCACTTCAACTGGCGAATCAGTGGATTCCACTGAGTGGAAGCATGTAAGACACAAACGACAACGTTGTTTGCATAATTAGTGGTTGCATTCTCTATAGTCGCCGTTCGAGTGTAGCCATGTAATTGTTATGGTTCTTTCGTGTGAAGAGAAAAGGCTGTATTAAATGATGTATTTTGGCGCTCGTTGATAAATATGTATCGCAATATTTATTGACATTGAGAAAATATTTTTTTTAATAAAAAATAAATTTTTGTTGAGATATCAAAACTTTTGTATAGATTCAAGAAAAAAAATCATTTCTACCAATAATCTACACATTATTGCAAATTTACCAATGGTTGTTAAAATATCTATTGGTATTTTCATACAATCGTCGCTACATCAGCTCAGTTGCACTCGTTTTGGTGCGATGGACCAAGTGCCAACTGCGCTGTGGTAGTGACGATTGTATTAAAATGAATACCAATAGATATTTTAACAACTATTGGTAAAGGAGTTGCCTGAAATGAGCATTTTTTTAGTACATAAAATGTAATATGCCATATGATTTTGTGCTAATTTGTACTAAATACGTAACTCCTTTGCAATATTATTGGTTTATTGGATTAGAACGGGGAGTGTACTAGGTCTACTTTTCAGTAATATCCGTAGTTCCTCGTTGCTCAGGTTTATTAACCTATTGCAAGACGTTCGTTGAGTTATGATGCCACTCGACTGCCTGAATGACATACTAAGAACCACATTGTTCACATTAGAGATCACAAAAACTGCTGTGGTCACACAATCGAAGTGTGTACAAATAGTAACTAGTTATTGATAGGCACTGTCAACATAGTATTTCTATAGCGGTAGCGTTTTCTACCCTCTGAAAGAATCAAACGGCAAACATAGGTAGCGAATAGAAGCACTAAACAATTTTTGGCAGTAGTAAAATGAAAACCATGCCCATAGAAGTTGTGAAAATATAACAATACATCTATGAAGGTACAGTAATGTGCGAGCAAAATTTTCCAGGGGAGGGCGATTTCAAAATTTTCTTCAAAAAACCCTAGGAAATCGAGAAAAATTTCGGACGAAAATCCCTAGCAAATCGGATGAATTTTGAAGTCACAGGGTTTCTCCCCCTCCCCTTCGCACATTACTGCTAAGGTTTATATGAATGGGGTAGAATAAAAACTACTTCTCGAAAAATGTTTAAACACGAAACCTAAAAAAAAATTTCAATAAAAAGTGAATCAATTTTTTTTTGTCCAATTGAAGTGAACCAAAAAAAATTTGTTCAATAAAAGTGAACCTAACAAAAAAATTCATTTTAGTGTATTTTACACTGAAAAAAACGAGTGAAATTTTTTTTTTGGTTCACTTTTATTGAACAAAATTTTTTTGATTCACTTCAATTGGACAAAAAAAAATTGATTCACTTTTTATTGAAATTTTTTTTAGGTTTCGTTTTAAAATACCAATTTTTCGAGAAGTAGTTTTTATTCTACCCCATTCATATTTCTTTTGAAAATGAATAAGAAAGCGAAACAAAAAAGATAAATAAAATCAAGTCTTTGATTTGTGATAAAATTACCTGCTTGGTGGTGTTGCCTGCTTGTGGATCGGTAACTGGTGCATCGCAGATGATCGATTGATTTGCTTTTGTTCCAACACTAAAGCTACTGCTACCTGGTAACGTAGTTTGAATGGTAATGCCACCACAGCCGCTATTGTTACTTCCACTTGTCGTTGGTGTTTGAGGCGTTTGCTGGTTGTTTATGCAATTTCCATTAGAAGTATTACTGTTCAGTGACCCAGACGACTCTACTAATGGTGAATTAATCATGGAACGTTCATCACTCATTGTTTTGCTTTCTCTTTGCTCGATTATTTGTAATAAAACAATTTAAAAAAAATATTTGTTCTTCCCCACAAATTGAAATTTCAATATCAATCAGTCAATCTGAAAAGGAAAAAAATAAATGGTTTTAGTTGAATGATTCGACTTGTCCATGAAACAACACAATTTTAGTTTAAAAAAAAAGTGTATGTTTTCACATATAGAATATTTGTATTTAAACTATCATAAGCAAAAATGGAATCACAATCTTTCTCAAAAAGAGAAAATCACTAAACCAAACCGCAGATTACAGTCACACGTGCCAAGTTTTATTTTGTAGATAACATATGTTACTTAAAGATTGAGACTAAATCAAACGACTACCATTTAAACACCAAAGAAGCATTTTGAAAATTTCTCTCAGTGGTAATTAGCTTTATTCATAGGCAACCCGAAAACACATTTACAGTACACTGAACGAACCATTCCCAAGTCAGTATAATACTCTTTTCGAAGAGTGTACACGCTCTTCTCACACTCTTCGTATAGTTTTATTCGACTCCCTTCTCACATTCTTCTCACACTCTTCTCACACTTTTGCATAAAACACGTATATTGAGTGAGAACTGCTGTGACTGCATTCCAGTGGAAGTAATGTTTGTATTTTGATATTTGAACGTTTATAGCATTCGTCAGCTGTGTCAAAATACAACAGAACGACAATTGCTGTTGCAACAGCTAATTCATTTTTTTTTTTGTATACGTTCATTTTTTTCAAAATGTCAAAAATTAACAAAATCAAAAATTATCCATCAGTGGAAAAATTTATTATAAAGAAAAAAAAGAAAATTTTTTAGAGAAAAAAATTGAAGCTCAGTTAAAAACAATATACGTGTTTTATGCAAAAGTGTGAGAAGAGTGTGAGAAGGGAGTCGAATAAAACTATACGAAGAGTGTGAGAAGAGCGTGTACACTCTTCGAAAAGAGTATTATACTGACTTGGGTTGTCTTCGATTTTTCTCAGTATGCGTCGATCCATCAAAATTATGCTTTGGCGGACCGATTGGTCGATTTCTTTGAACTTTCTCTCAATTCATCCAACCAATTGTTGCACGTTTCAAGTATCTTGGACCTTCGCCTATAACATACATCCAAAAACGGAAGATAAATAATTAATTTGGTGTCTTTTTATGAAGTTGAGAAGATGGTCCTATTTTTATGGAAATGCTATTTTTCAAGAAGTGAGCTATTATTGTAGTTTTTTCTGCTTGCAAAACACAATTTTGTCTTAAATCAGATAGTCCACATCGAATTCTATCGATTTCAATAATAATTGATTGGTAATGGAGTAAGTAATGGAGGTTTAACCTTACGTTACAGCACTAAATTTTCGAATAATGGCTCTAAAACACCTTCCAAAGAAGATCCTATAATACAAACATCACTTTATCAAAGTTAGGTTTGTCGACGTCTCTAGCCCTATATAGTAGTGCTCTAATGTTATCAATGCAAAAGAAACCACTTGCACTTGATTTATGGTTCGATAAAGCGATGAATGTTTCACTGTCCAAAATGATGCATTTTTCAGTGCAAAATGCTATGAAGTAAACATCCAACTTTTGACACCCTATTGAATTTTTTCATTACATATTTTGCTGATTCCTAATGATCGTGACTAAAGCTATTGTTTTGGTTCAAATTTGGATGTGCTGTAACCATAAGAATCACCAAAAATGAATGTTTGTTTGAACAACCCGGTTTTCGGTACTTGATGACAATTTTGAAGAGTTTGAGTATTTAAATTGGGAATACGACCGGACTTTTGGCTTTTTCTAGAATCTTTGTCTTCGTATTAAATCCATGAAACACGATACATGATTCGAAGACAAATTGGTTCATCTTTTGACACATGCAGAATTTGTTTTGAACTTAGCTGTCCAAAACCATTTGAGACACTTTTTCGTAAGTCCAATTTGTACGTCATCGCGAATGGAAATTTTTCGTCGAATTGAAATTGATAGTAGAGAAGAAGTCCCTTTATGCCTCCTGGGTGCATTGGTTGACATTCTTGGTTTTGTTTATGTAGTGCAATAAACGCCTGAATTTAGTCTCAATCTTTAAGTAACATATGTTACATTCTCTCTGTAAGCAAGCACGTGGATATATTTAATTATTCTTACGTCACATGCTTTAGTAGTATAGATCCGTGTCCAAAACATAAAGATGTAATTGAATGGCCGTATCAGGTATAATATGAATATGTTTGAATAGTCAATTATTGCACTTATATTCATATTTTATATTGAATCGCTTCAATTTCTGTCCATAACGAATTTTCATTTTGGCATTTTTTGAAGCAAATTCTATTGACCCAGTGAAGATAAACTAAAACAGTTCTTGAAGAGAAATTAATGTCTCTTATTCATTTGATATTTCCTTCTTTGCTATTCCCGCTTTTTTTTCGACCAACAATTGTAATTACTTAAAATGGAAATAGTCAATGACAAAAGGTCCAAGAAATAAGAATATTTAATTTTTTTTATATTGATCGTTATGGAATGAAAAAAAGAAAACAATTAAAATAATGGAAACGATGTGACGATTGTGATACAATCTATAAATCAAGGTTCTGTGCTCTTGTAAGTTATATACAGTCATGTGATCATATCCAATCATACATGGGCAAGGAGGGGGGGGAAAACTTTACGTAATTTCCTCTAGGGTATTGAATATATGATTGTACCAAAGAGATTGACATTTCTAGGGTAATTTTGGGGCGCTCTATCGATTTGCATCATTAATTTTTTTTTGGGGGGGGGGCTATGTTTATTTTTTTACCTCCAAAATATAAATAGACTTCCATTTCAGTGTCAAGATGTAAAACACCACATGAACATTCACCCCTGCCTAGGGTACTTTTCAGTCCTCTATCGATTGACACCATTGGTTTTGACCCCCTGTCGTACCCCTCCCCCCTAGGGGGGTGCTCCGGTTTGACTCTTCGGACCCATATTTAAGGTCTTTGGAGTGGAAAAACACACATGACCCTTCACCCATACCCGGGGTATTTTTCAGTGCTCTATCGATTGGTATCATTGGTTTTGACCCTCCGACCGACCCCTCCCCACTTTGTGGGGCTACCCATTTTTCTTACCCCCCAAATATTTATGGACTCCCATTTGAGGGTCAAGGACACGAAATACCCCCCCCTATACCCCCCTCATACTCAAGGTATTTTTGGATGCCCGATCGATTGGAATCATTAGTTTTGACCCTCCAACACCCCCTTACCCCCCTTTTGGTTCCTATACACCGACCCCGATTTAAGGTCATTGGGGGTGAAATAGCCCCGGGGTGTGCTCTTACACCCAAGGTATTTTCACCTTATCACTATTTTGGGGGTACTTTTGAAAATTTTCGTGAATTTTGTAGGGGGACCCCCCATGGGGGTTATGGGAGGGGGTGCCCAATGCCAAAAATGAAATGAGCGCAAAAAATTAGCTATAGTTGGTCATACATTTTGGTACAAAATTCCGGACCGAAAAAGTGAAAAATCGACTTTGTAGGATTTGACCCCAAATGGGGGGCACTGGGGCTAGACACAATAGTGGATGAGAAAAATATCAATTCTAAGGTATTTTGGCACGCTGAGTCCGAATTTCGGGGTTTCAGGTCAAAAAAATCACACCTTGGGGGTTTTTGACGACCCCCCTGGGGGTGGGGGGACTTGGAGGGCAGGTGACCCAAAAAAATTCTCTCATCATTCTGAACAACATTATAGTGCATTATAGTGCATAATTTTTTGGTCCGAGCATTAAATTGGGGTCAAGAACCAGTCTGGGTAAAGATAGACGGGGTGTATATAGGGGTTAAGGGGGTTTGGGTCAAAAAACAAATGATGCCAATCGATAGAGCACTGAAAATACCTTGGGTGTAAGAGCACACCCCGGGGCTATTTCACCCCCAATGACCTTAAATCGGGGTCGGTGTATAGGAACCAAAAGGGGGGTAAGGGGGTGTTGGAGGGTCAAAACTAATGATTCCAATCGATCGGGCATCCAAAAATACCTTGAGTATGAGGGGGGTATAGGGGGGGGGTATTTCGTGTCCTTGACCCTCAAATGGGAGTCCATAAATATTTGGGGGGTAAGAAAAATGGGTAGCCCCACAAAGTGGGGAGGGGTCGGTCGGAGGGTCAAAACCAATGATACCAATCGATAGAGCACTGAAAAATACCCCGGGTATGGGTGAAGAGTCATGTGTGTTTTTCCACTCCAAAGACCTTAAATATGGGTCTGAAGAGTCAAACCGGAGCACCCCCCTAGGGGGGAGGGGTACGACAGGGGGTCAAAACCAATGGTGTCAATCGATAGAGGACTGAAAAGTACCCTAGGTAGGGATGAATGTTCATGTGGTGTTTTACATCTTGACACTGAAATGGAAGTCTATTTATATTTTGGAGGTAAAAAAATAAACATAGCCCCCCCCCCAAAAAAAAATTAATGATGCAAATCGATAGAGCGCCCCAAAATTACCCTAGAAATGTCAATCTCTTTGGTACAATCATATATTCAATACCATAGAGGAAATTACGTAAAGTTTCCCCCCCCCCTTGCCCATGTATGTATCCAATGCTAAATTTCGGTATTTGCACCGTACACATCGTGCACATTCAAGGCATATTTTTTTTATATGTATACCTAATTTTTTTGGAGTTTAAGGCTCAGACAGAGATTATCACACTAATTTAATGGTACTATAACTGAATGCGGCTGATAACCACGAAATGAAAAAGGTCCGTGTTTCATAGCATTTTATTACCAAGATATCAATTCTATGATTTTTTTGATAAAAGACATACTTAATCACAGACACACATTTACATTTAGCTTCGGTAATGAAAAGTTCACTACAAAGTTGAATCAATAATCCAGCCGTAATAATTATCGTAGCATATGCAAAATCACAATGTAAATACTTGCGCTGATTCCTATGTAATCGGTAATGTTATTTTCGAAGTGCAAAACATAAATTGAAAATTAATATTGGAGAAATAATAAAAAATGGACGTTTACTCATAATAAATTGTATGTATTAGAAAAAATTACCTTATTTAGTGGATGCTATTGGCTGGATGGATCCATAATAAGAAAATCGAATGTTCGAAAGGAAAATAATTCAAATTGGCCACATAAGCATAAACAATAAGACACTAAGATTCAAGATTTGTGTATTTACTTGTTTCGTGATATTTTATATGAATCGAGAAAGAAAAAACATAATACACCAAAATGACATCGAATATTATGTGTAGCTAAAACACCAAAGAGAAACACCACATAAATAGATAGATAATAACACCGAAAACTTCAAGGAGAATAAATAGTCTTTCGCACAAAAAAAAAAAACAAGAAAAGAAAAACAAATTAAGAGCTGTATAGAAAAATGCAGTAATACACCGTATTGAGTAGCAAAAAATATGAGAGAGAAAACTAGAGTTATAGTTCGCCTATACGTTGAATTTTTGTATCGATATGTTTCAATGTTAAATAAAATGGAATCTTCACACACTGAGAGATAGCAGATTTGGCTCAGTCGCAAATTCTATATTTTCCAAAGTAGAGAGTATCTATTTATTTAGGGTCTTTGTTGTCACTATTACATTGCTATTTTATTGTAGTGGTTTTAATATTTCGCTTACTTTTTCAATTTTATATATTTTTGTGTGAATTTTGCTTTTTCAATACTCGATTGATAAATCAAATACAATCTCATTGACGTTGCTGGATTTCTCATACGGGACGTGTGTCATTTGGGCAATCACATACATATACAGCATTGGAGCGCATACGCATTGAAGAAAGACATACATACTAATACTTCTCTTGTAATACTCAACATGACAGCTGTATGACACCACAACAAAATTATTGATAATGGAGCGCGAAGTTTAATTTTTTTTATTAAACACTTCAAAATAATTTTTAAAAACATAAAAATTGGTTTCGCTATTTTTAATTGTATTACTTAAGTAATAAGTATTAAAATGTGAACAATTTTTTTTCAGAAAAGAGGAACGAACTAACAAATATTACTTGAAATAGTAATTGAAAGCTGTGGTCACGTTCATTTTTTTGTTTAACTTTTATTCCAGCAAAAATATCGTTAACTGGTATGTTTTTAAACTATTTTTTCTTCAAATTAAATCTGCAAAATATGTTGTCCAACGTTTTGATTTCGATAAAGTATTTTTTTTATTAAATAAAAAGCTTTGCTGGTTGAAATTTATATACCCGGATGGCTCATTAATTTGAATTATTGTTATTAAAGAATTTTATCTGGAAAAAATATGATGGTGAGTCTTGAAAATTGTTTTTGTGAATTTTTTAAGCTTGTTACTTCTATAGAACTATAGTTTTTTTAAGTTGCGAACTTAATGTTTGTCATTTGTTGCAAGAATATAATGTTCTCTGATTTATTCTATTTTTTGCTTCGAATGATTGAATTTAAACTTTCTATGTTGTTTATTTGCGTATTTTTCCTCTTGAGTTTTTGGCTAAATTATTATTTTCTTTTTTTTTTATCCTCCGAATTTCACGACAACGTCAATTTCTAGTTAATCATCCATGTTTGATGACAACAAAAAATTTGCGGCTAAGTTTTCGTTTTTCTCACATGCAAAATAGGCTTGCAATACCAAATGTTCTGGGAATCCAAGTCCCTTGAGCTATTTAGAAAAGAAAAATTATAAATGAATTAATATAATATTCAATATTTCCTTTCTTCTTCAATTATCTTACACGTTCAATAGCGTCACGATCTTGCGCTGTTAAAAGAAGTGTTGCATCAGATGGCCGTTGTTCTCCAGCAACGTCTCCAGTCGATGCGGAAAGTCCACCAACACCACTATTAGCTACATCAACGTTCAATTCATCGGCATTTGGTTCGTTCAACATATTCAGGAAGGATTCTTGATTTTCCGATATCAATTGTAGTAAAGCCGGATTTGTTTGACCAATCTTTAATCAGATAAAATAAAACGAAATACGGTGAAATATTTGCATTTCTCTCCTTTTTTTAACGAAACAAACTACCTGTTGCAATGCAGCATTTAACAATTCGGGATTTTGATGGATTAAATTTCGCATTTGATGGAATTGAGGTTGACTACGTAGAAATGACAATGGATCTGCATTACCTTCGGATGTGGGCGGAATATTGATATTACTAGCACCATCGTCAACAAGTCCACCACCAGCTGCACTACCAACTGGATTATTCAACTCTTCCAAATTGCCACTGTCTGGTATTCCGCTTAGCAAATATTCAACAGCACGATCTGGGTTGTTGAAACTGGCGCGTAACGCTCGTTCCACCTCGTCTCTGGTATAACCCATTTCCATAATGTTTGTTATCATGCTATTATATTCATCACCTGAAGTTATAAGTGCTGATTCGGCCGCTGATTGCACTGATTGCTGTTGTGCTGTTACAGCGGGTGTACTTTCACTGGGTACAGACTCATCTGTTTTCGCAGGTTCCGATTTCGATCTATTGTAACAATTTGTTTTAACAACACACACAAATTCACAAAATATAAAGTTTCGTTTAAAATAATGTAATAAATTTTTGCAATTCTTATTTGAAAATTTCAAAAAGTATACTAACTCAACGTTCGTGGCTGCTTTTATATTTGTTGAACCGGCCTCTTCGGTTTTTGTGGTCGATGATGTAGAGGTGATCGTTGTAGATGCTGCTTCTTCTTCCAATTTCGTGTCTTTCTTTGCACTTTTATTTACCATAACAACAATAAACTTTTTTTCATCGAAATTGTATGATGCAATGGTTTTTTCATCAGCTAATATCATACCTATAAAAAAATCCAGAAATATAAAAAAGAAAATAAATAATGTTCTACAGTCATAGCATTCTATTGAGGTTATGTGTGACAATGAACACTTGACAAACATCATACACAATATTGATAATATTTTATCGAATTACCAAATTGTATTTACCTGCATAAATAAGTTTTTGGCTTTCTGTTTGATAGTCCTTGCCACGTTCGGCTTCGATCTTTTGCTTCAGTTTCAAAACCTATCCCAAACGCGTGGAAATTAGAAATTAAATTCGTTTGTATTACCATTATAAACTCTATTCTTTGCCCATTTTATTTTGCAATGTATTGAAAATGTATTAAAAAATAATGAAAATAGAAATTACCGTTTCCGATGGATCGAACTCCACGTGAAAAGTTTGCTGTTGTAAATTTTTGATTGTGATAAGCATATTGAACAAAAATTAGTCTTTATCTCGTATATTACTGCACTCTGCTTCCCTTAATTCTCGTATGCTTAAAAATCCGTTTATTATTTAAGGAGAAAAAACAATTAGAATTAATGCCAAATTACTTAGTCTCATTAACGTAAATTAATTGAATAATCTATCTACCTTTTCAGAAACGATTCTGTTGTACGTCAAAAAAAATTTTCTCTATGAATTGTCGTGTGCAAACATTCACGCGAGTTGATGATCCTGTAAACAGAAAGATTTGTATTTGTATATGTGTTTGAATGAGCATGTCAAAATGTCTTCGTCCTTCTTTGTATCACAAAAACATTCAATTTATGTCCAACATTCGATCATTGACAACAGTTTTTATTTTGAACTATAGATTTTATTTGGAAAACTACTAAAGTTACTATTTTTTTAATAATGTATCTTCGTAAAGAACAACAAAATTATAAACTGAATGCTGAAAATTCATTTTCCATACTCTCTGCATTAACCTAAATATAATATGAAATAGCTCGAAATGCAGTAATGAAATTGAGAATAATTCAAATAGTGTGTATACGGTGATTTTTTATGTAGATATATGTTTTGCGGCATTTACATACGTTTCACAATATTTTTTTATTTTGGTTTTAGTTCGCTGTGATCGCACAAGTCAAATACACAAATGTTATGAAATTTTACCAACCAAAATACACTCACGTCTCTTGGTAAAAATGTTCCTTTGTCAAATTACGATGAATTAGCGAAATTTCGAATAAGGATTTCCAAAATGAATATGACGATTGGCCCGCAACCAAAAGCGACAATTTATACGTGTAGTATATTGTACGTGTGTTCACACATCAACTTTAGTTTGATTTCGCTCCGAACACAGTTCAAATACGCATCAATGTGCATGGGTTTATGAATTCGCTACGTCTTTTGTCTCTCTCTGTAGTAACAACATTTTTGTTTCTTTTAAAACGTTGCATAAATCCAAAATGTTACTAAAAACTGTTGAAAGTGATGTATAAATTGGTATGCTTTGAATAAATTTCATTGAAATCAACGTTGATGTGTTTTCGCATATATATATATATAGAATATATATGTATATGATTCAACTAATATAGCGATATAAATGTAATATGAACGAAAGAATTATGCATCTTACCCGATTTAATGGGCGAATTCTAAAATGGTGTTAACCATTAAGCATTCTGAATAAATGTTTGTTGTATATTTTGACACTTCTTACTTGAGTGTATCGGGGACGCCATTGTAGCGTCGTAAATGAAAGAGTAAAAATCGCAACGGCTTATATATATATTTATGATTTAAATTGACGGTAAATAATTAAATTTCTAATTGTGAAAGTGCTTCGCGACTAGTATTACCACCGAATCGGTAGGTTTTGATTGATTTCTATGCAGATTTCATTCTCAAACAGTAACAAATTGATCCAAATTCAAATTATGTGTATTAAAAGAAACTTTTGTCAATTTTTTTCACAGAAAAATGGCTGCCCTAGAACCGATTTCCTCGGATGACTCAAATTCTCCAACATGTGCAGAAAGGGTGTCTAAATTGGAGGTGTTGGAAAATTTCAAAAATTTGTTCAATTCGGGACAAATTACTGATTTTGAAATACGTACATCAAACGGTACAATTCGTACACACAGAGCGATTTTAGCAGGTTCTTTTTTTAAATCAATATTATCAAGCAAAATAATTTATTTGAGTTTTATTCTATTATTTTTGGCATACAATAGCTCAAAGTCCATTCTTCGCAGCCATGTTCTCAAATGAAAATTATGTAGAAGTGAACCAAAACTTTATAACTATAGACAATTATAATCCCAATGTCACCGAGGCTATGATTAGTTATATGTACTCCGCAAAACTGTCCGGAATATCGGAATTCGCTCTAGAATTGATGAAAGCTGCCAATCAGGTATAATAAATGTTAATTATTTACAATATACGCGATTATAAACGATTTATATTATTTCTACTCGATTTCTAGTTCCAAATTGGCGCGTTGAAGTCAGCTTGCGAAAAAAGGTGCATAAAAGCTATGAATTATAATAACGTTACCGAATTTCTCATTCAGGCCGATACTCATAAGGCTGAAAGGTTGAAACAAGCGTCAATGAAATTTATTAAAGAGTAAGATTGGAATAAATCAAAATATAGTATTTTTTCACATCAACATTATAAAATATATTTTACGTAATTCTGAAATAGACATTATGACGAGGTAGCCCAAACTGAAGATTGGGAAAATTTCAAAGGCGACAATACAAAACATGGACTATATGCAGAGTTAACTGACACGTGGTCACCAACAAAAAAGCGTTTCAGAGCGGGCCCGTCGAATGAATAACAACGGCAAATTTCTAACAATCGAGCGAACCAATCATTGAAATCAACCATAAATGCAGACACCAAGTCAGCAAATTTTTTAAAATGAAAACCAAATTTTTTCTCTATGAACTGTCGTGTGCAAACATTCACGCGAGTTGATTATCCTGTAAACAGAAAGATTTGTACTTGTATATGTGTTTGAATGAGCATGTCACAAAACATTCAATCTATGTCCAACATTCGATCATGTCCAACATTCGATCATTTTTATTTTGAACTATAGATTTTATGTGGCAAACTACTAAAGTTACTATTTTATCTAATAATGTATCTTCGTAAACAACAACAAAATATAAACTGAATGCTGAAAAAATGTTTTGTTTGTTTTCCATACTCTCTGCATTAAACTAAATATAATAAGAAATAGCTCGAAATGCAGTAATGAAATTGAAAATAATTCAAATATAGACCGAGAGCTGATGGGAAAAGATCTATTATTTTTGCTTTATGTCAGAAAACTATAACAAACCATGCAGCTAGACATACACTAAACAAATGATTTTAACTCTATAATTACAGCCCTCCCACTCGCGAAATCTGCACTATTATCCGCGGATAGAAAATACATCAACTATTAAAGCGAGCTGCATGTTTGTTTTATTTTGGAATATGTTATAAATTAATAAATAAAAAATTTGTTATTATATAAAATAACACTAAATTATAAATATCTGCACGAAAAATGTGTATTTATTTTTTTCTAATGCAATATAAAAATTGTTTGTGTATTTGATTGCAAGTGTCACTGAAAATTTATATCAGATCATTTTTAGATTTGATGTGCAGTATTGCGTCACAGTGAGAACTTCCAAAGACGTGTTTTTTACTTATATCATTTGTTTTAACATTTAATTTAATTTTTCTGTTTGAAATCTACAAAAATTTTTGCCTCGCTACGCTCGCCTGAATTTTATATATTCTTTTATTGTATTCATATATTAATATTCTTCACATTGGAAAACAAAAATATTTATATTAATCGATTTCTTGAAATGCACGCCAATTTTTGTTTTGCTTTCTGCCATACTTTTATCATTTGTTTTTTTTTTTTGCATTTTCAATTGTTTTTGTAAAATTTTGAAACAAAAGGAGAAATTTCTACAGTGAATTTGTAGTATGTATGGTTACCAAATCTATTCAAAACTAATTGTACCAATGTTTTTTTCATTTTCTTCAATTGAATAAAGCCCTCAAAATATCATTTCAAGGTGTAGTTTCCAGGCCGATTATCTCTAAAAATCTAAACAATTTCTCAAAAAGATTGCCCCCATTGGATTCTTCGGGTCCGAATTACGTGATATCAGTTGTTTTATTTAAAAAAATATATAAAATCCAAGTATGTTGTAGTTGGTTATTGAAAAAATCTCAAAAAGGTGGTCGGCCAAATACACGCTTTTTCCAATTTTGACCAATTTTGAAAAATGTTGGTTCTAAAAAATGTGCACATTGGTTCAAAATTGGGTACTCTTTCGATCTATGATTAAAAAAAAAATCGTTATTCACACATTTTTTTAACAAAATTACGATTTTCATCGATTTTTCCCCATTTTTTAATAATATGGTCATAGATGGATTGAATCATATCCACTGAATTTTTTTCAAAATTTCTTCAATACATTCTTCATTTCTTCAATACATGTAACCAAAGATGGCGTTCGCGATTAAGATTCCACTGACGTTTTCATATAAATATGCCAACGCAATCCCCGGTTAGTTTGTATCAGGTTTGTATCTTCGTAGCGTCGGAATTTTGACGTGGTCCAGGACGAGGTCGATGTTTTCGTTGTTTCGTCAAAAGATGATTACTCTCTCGTGAGTCGATGGAACCATGTGGTTTACTTCCTTCTGGCAATGGTTCGCGTCCACGGCAAGTAAAGTATCGATATTTCATCTTCACACGATCACCTTTCTTCGGAAATTCCAAGTCTTTGAAACACAACGAGCGCACCTTTGTTGTCCGAAATAGTATTTGGCAAACTCAATATAATGGTGTTATAAATTTAATCATAAATAAATAAATAACCTTTTGCTTCTGAGTCGGCAGCAATGAAATTTTCACCCACAAATACGAATGTTTCTTTGCCATCGATCAACCAGTCTGCCAACTTATCGAGTGTCTTATTCGTATCGATGTACTGTAGAAAATCTTGAAGTGCATATTCGTACTGCGTGTACACTGACAAAACTAAGGTTATGATTTTGACAACACCGTGTTGTAAATGCTTACATTCTAACGAATGTTGTGAAGTAGCCAACAATTGTTGTCATTGTGAATACGTACAATGGCATATATTATATGTATTCACAACGACAACAATTGAATGGGGTAGAAAAAAAACTACTTCTCGAAAAATTGGTATTTTAAAACGAAACCTAAAAAAAATTTCAATAAAAAGTGAATCAATTTTTTTTGTTCAATTGAAGTGAGTCAAGAAAATTTTGTTTAATAAAAGTGAACCAAAAAAAAAATTTCACTCGGTTTTTTCAGTGTAAAATACACTAAAATGATTTTTTTTTGAGCTCACTTTTATTGAACAAAATTTTTTTGGTTCACTTCAATTGGACAAAAAAAAATTGATTCACTTTTCATTGAAAGTTTTTTTTAGGTTTCGTGTTTAAACATTTTTCGAGAAGTAGTTTTTATTCTACCTCATACAATTGTTGGCTACTTCACAACATTTGTTGGAATGTAAGTAAGCATTTACACGGTGTTGTCAAAATCATAACCTTAGTTTTGTCAGTGTATGCTTCAAACTTCTCATTGAAATGCCGTAAAATATGATCGACATATCTATTAATGTTGTCTGAATGTGGACCTGGTTGCTCATCAAAAGATTCTCGGTGAATACGCATTTTTTCGTCGATGTTGAAAGTCAACTTTTTGCGCCATTTATTTCGCTTGCGATAGCCGATCATGTGATTATATTGACCTGATGTCAATCGAACGAGTTTTTCGCAGCGATTTTCCTTGTTCGGATCATTGTAATTTGTCACACAAACACCGCCAATCACCAGCCGAAGACCTGGATCGAGACCATGCACTTGTTGCGCTTTCAATAACTTTTCTTGAGTCTCCCGCATGATTTCGTTATCGTCTTTGACAACGACGAATTTTGTGCGTTCCATCCAGAATGACATAGCCACTCCATCCGTTTGAATCGAACTTTGGAATTTTATAGTGGCACGATTGTCATTTTGCGGTGTTCTTTCGATGGCATCAATGTCAAAATATGTTCGCCAAAGCACGTCCCAATCAGCGGCTTTCAATTCCTTGCACTGCTTTGGTGTTCCATCACGTCTAATGAGCCGTGGGTGTGGGCATCCGATCTTTCTCAGCATGAAATAAAGACCTTTGTTATCGATGCGAATGTGATGTCTTTTAAACGTTGAAACTGGAAAAACGGTGAAATTTCTGTAATCACGGAGCTCTGTTCTTTCACCTCGTCGCAATACCGCCTCTCTATTTCGTTGGTGATCACGAATGTACCTATTGTATGATTGACGAGGAAATCAATAGAAATTGCATTGTTTAACGAATGAAACAAAAATGATTGTGTGCAACCGATTGATTTGAAATAATGTAAAAATATTAACGGCTTACCGTTGCAAATGTAGAAATATTGGTACGTATTTGAACCAATTGCCTCCCGTCGTCATCTCACAAAAATATGCTCGACCATCTCCGAAACGAATTGGATGCAATTCATTTTTTAGTATTTCAATTAGATACGGATCTGGTACGCGCTCTGATTTCTTTTTGAATAGATATTGCATGGTATCGTTGATCTGTTGCTTGGTCGCATTTTAGTGCTCAAAACACTTCCAAAGACGAGAATATGCGTGATAGCAAATGTTATTCTTGAAATTTGTTGTAGTTGAATACATTTCCAATGCTCTCAATTTTTTGGAGCTCTCACGACATATTTACGACACAAACGGTAAATCATTCTGGACACTTTGTATCCAGAGTCCATTACGGCATCTTCATCGTCGCTATCAAAATTTTGCGTTCCTCAGAAATAGTCATCGAAGAAGTTCTCATTGACTGAAGTAATCACAAATTGACTGAAGTAATCTTCGATTTCACCGTATCGATTACCATCACAACGCACTTGAAAAAATGTGAAAATCAAGTAATGAACACTGAGTGCACCCAAAATGAAACATCGCGTCATTTCAAGCACATAATCGCTGATCAAATCACGAAATTCATCTGTTTTCATTGGTCGATTCTGTTTCAAGCCTTTTTTTGCACTTTTCTTTATCGTTTGATTTTCACAAATTTTTTTCCTCTTTACTGGCTTTGGCTTAGAAGCCGATGCTGCAGGCTTCCGTTTCTTTCCAGCCATCGTGATCGAGTGATATTATACCGAACAGCTCTCTTATATTTATAGTCTAAAATCTGTTGATTCAGCAATATATTATTTTTGATGAATTTATAGGTTCCCGGTATTTTGAGAACGGGCCTTTAAAAATTCATCAAAATATACAATCACCGATTCATGTAATCGAACGGGTTGAAAATCATTCATCAACAAAGCAAGAATATTCTCACATGTGTTCTCAATGTGTGTTTCGGTTGTTCACGATTCTGATGGATTTCGAAAACTCAAAAACATATTTGCCATGTTACCCTTTACAAAAAAAATCACTGAGCACAAAAGCGGAAGGAATATATGCTGATATGGATGCAAACCGATCTCAACTTTTTTTGAAAACCATCCGCTAATCAATTTTTTACTTTGTTTTCAAGAAATCATCTTTTAATAAACAAACCAAAAATGCGTTCATTTCACTCTTGCATAAATATAATTTCAAAAGTCTCCGATGAAAACAAATCAAAAATCATATCCTCACAGCAAGAATATTCTCAAGCGATTCTGGTGGATTTTGAAAACTCAGCAAAATGTTTGCTATGTTACGCTTTACAAAAAAATCAGTGAGCTCAAAAGAAGTTATGACATGGAATATGTGCTGATATCAAGGCAAACCGATCCCAAACTTTATTGAGAACCATGCGCTAATCACCCTTTCTTCACTTTGTTTCCACTACCTATGAAAAATTTTATCAGAAATGTAATAAATAGCACAGAAGCGATGGAAAAAAGGATTTTATTGAAAATCATCTTTTAATAAACAAACTAATCGAAATTCCAACAGAAACAAAAATAGTTTTTTCGACAACGGAGTACGCGTTTTACACAACATAAGACCGTGAAAGATTATGTTTGTAATCGAAAGACAATGACAGGCGTTTGAAGTTTCATGTAAATGTCAATACAATATGAAACAGTGTTCCACCAGAATGATTATTCATTGAATATTCAAACAACTAATACAATTTAATCGTTTTACAAAACTACTGTATTTTCCATTAAAAAAATAAATACAAAAAACCTTTCTAGCACCTTCTTATTTCATTTTAATCCATTTGGTTTTTTATTAAATAAATCCGAAAAGATTATATTTTAATCCCATCAAAATTACAGTGTATATGTATGTGATTCAACTAACATGGCGATATAACTGTAATAGGAACGATATCTTACCCGATTTAATGGGCGAATTATAAAATGGTGTTAACCAAATCTGCTGACAAACCATTTGATTATTGACATTGTATAATTCAATGACAATGATTTTATTTTCAAATGTGATATTCTTTTGTATATAACTTTTTCTTTCTAAATGTTAGTTTTTCAATTTTGTGGTACAAGCAATATCATCCTTTCTGTATTTTCTGTCATTATTTTTTACATTTATTAATTTGTTTTATTTTTGCGTCACAAATATCATTTGTAATTCTTCAGAGTATTTACAAACATAATGTTTTCATAATCAACTATTTTTATATGCGATGTGTTTATGTTTTTTTGACATATTACTATTTTATGTCATTTAAAATGTATTGCTCGATGTGATTCGGCGAATTGCTCTTCATTGAATCAATTTATTCATCTCAAACAAGTTGAAAGAAAAATCCAAGCGAAAATCCGATGTTTTTTTGTACACATCAAGTTGACATTTTAATGAAAGTCGCCGCAATTATAATTTCGCCATATCATTCATTTAGTTTATTTTTCACATTTGTATTTGCATGAATTGTATAGTGTGTGTGTATAGTTTGTGGGTTGATTAAGTTGACTAAGTTTATAGAAAATGTATTTGTATGTCTTATGCGCCATTACTTTATTGTGTGTTATTTAATGGTTGTTTCAGCCGACGAATTTTGCTCGCCTGTATGTAATACATTGACAATTACATGGGTGATAAAAACGTAAAAGACCGAATGAAATTGACGCAAAGTTCACGTTAATATAAGGGAAGAGAAAAAAAATAGAAGACTTATCGAATCAAGTAACAAGACGAAACTAAATTTTAGAAAATACTGTATAAATCAATGAAATTCAGTTCGCTGTTAGTTTTTTTCTTTTCTTTTTTGTCATTTAGTTTTGTATGTGAATAAAGAGAAAAACAGAGGAATTGTTTATTATAATTTTGTGATTGTGTACAAACTGCTTTAATTTGGCCAACATTTTTTTCATTCATTTTTGTCAAACTATCAAACTCTGATAATTGGCAGCGAAAAGAACGCATAAAAAAGTAGAACAAAATCATAAAGTTGAAACATCATACAATAACTATAAAAACAATATTGAATATTGAGTGCAATTGTGCAATGAATAAAGATTAGTATTTTTGAGTGTTGTTGCTGCTGCTGTTTTTTGCTAGATTAATATACAATTTGGCTTTTTTATTGTCAACTTAAAATCTGCACAAACCTAATTTCTGTATATTATGTTTATAAAAGCCAATGTCAGGAAAAACGTAACTCCTGATTGTGTGTGAGAAATTTGTGTGGCACAAAAATATCAAAAGCAAAGAATCTTTTTTTATTCTTCATATTTCGAGCCTAATTAATAACACATACGATCAGCAATCAGTCACCAGAGTGACTAGCAATCATGGTAAGTGTAGTAAAATGTACATATTTTTGTTATCATAGCAATTTTTCATCCTCATTGTGTCACGAATTCACTGAAAAATAAATAAAGTGACTTTACTTACGAATTACTTGAATGAAATTACTAGATTGTTGGGGAGGAATACAATTTTGAAATGGGCGCACCAATTGAACCATTGTAAAGTTATTTAATTGTTCCACTCTCAAATTGAAACTCATATTCAAAAAATCTAAAATTGATTGTTAAATGCCCATCTTTATCAAATGGTTGTGTAGTATACTATTGAGTATTGAGTATATACAACATGTAATGCAGTGAGTGTGCATCATCAAAACTGTGCTGAACGGCAACAGTTTTTTTCGCTGTCAAATTCAAGTTTTGAATATTATACTGCATTGATTACATACCTTAGTTCATGCAGCCTTGTTCAGTTAACACGAAGTTCTGTGAAAAAAACAATCGCACAAACTAAAGTTTATATGTGGAAGTTCTTTGGAATAAAATAACACAAAGGTTAATTTTGAGTTTGATATTTTCTTGATGAAGATTAGAATAATTATAGCTTTCGATATCAAAATTGGAAATTCCACTCGAGATTTTTAGATTAAAAGAATTACTTTTCTGGAATATTGCAGTTGAATACAAAAAATTGTCTTTTAAAAGTTAATGTTTATGATTGAAATAAGCGTTGAGTTCATAAAGATAAAATTCTAATTAGAATTGATATGACTGATATGACTGAATGCCAAGGGAATGGCACGTATATGAGAGACATGACGACGTGCCAAACCGTAACGCCATCTATCGGATAGAATCTGAATTACAAATTTCGTATTGACTATATCATATTTGTGTAATTTTGTTCATAGAATTATAAGGTTTATTCCGACAAATTTGTAAGGTTTTTGTTCGCCAACATTTTACATAGCATGCCATACCCTTGCTGAATGCTAACGGGGCGTAATTTACTGCAACTGAGATAATTCTAATATTAAGTTGACTTAATAATTGTAACTAAAATATCAATATTCAATATTGAGATGATTATTTCTCCTTTTTCATTTACCTAGAATTTCCTTGGATTTGGACAGTCGGCCGATATTGATATCGTGTTTGATGACAGTGAATCACGTAAACTGGCCGAAGTTAAAACAGAAGATGGCAAAAAAGAAAAATATCTTCTGTACTATGATGGGGAAACTGTATCGGGAAAAGTTAGTTTATGTTAAATGATAATTAGTGGAACCACAAACTTTTTATTGCAATTATTTTTCACACTCTATAATTTTTATTTGTTCTTTCTCAGGTCAATGTAACATTGAAGAAGCCCGGTAGCAAATTGGAGCACCAAGGCATCAAAGTGGAACTAATTGGTCAAATTGAGTTATACTATGATCGTGGAAATCACCACGAGTTCGTTTCAATGGTCAAAGAGCTTGCAAGACCTGGCGATTTGATTCAAAATACCAGCTATCCATTTGAATTTGCAAATGTTGAAAAGCCATACGAAGTATACGTTGGATCTAACGTTCGATTACGGTAAACACTTTATTACACATATTTCATGGCATATTTTGTTCGAAACTTAATGATATTGACTATAATTTTCGCATACTTACATATTTACAGATATTTCCTACGTGTGACGATTGTTCGACGCATTAGCGACGTTGTTCGCGAAATCGATATCGCCGTTCACACGTTATGTAGTTATCCGGAAATGAATTGTCCCATCAAAATGGAAGTTGGTATCGAAGACTGTTTACATATAGAATTTGAGTACAATAAATCAAAGTAGGTATTTTCTGTTGACTTCTAAATACAGAAATGGGATCAGTTTTTTTAATATTATTTATTGATTGGAACTTGTATTTCAGGTATCATTTAAAAGATGTTATTGTTGGGAAAATATATTTTTTACTTGTTCGCATTAAAATAAAACATATGGAAATTGCAATAATAAAACGTGAAACAACTGGATCGGGTCCTGTGAATGTATGTCCCAAGATATAATAACTTGAAAATCATCATTCTATTACTGAAGAAATGCTTTCAATTCTTTAGATTATTTTTCCATTGCTTACTGAATAATTTCCATTATTTCCATTCTTTTCTTTGTGATTAACCTTAGGTATTCACAGAAAATGAAACGATAGCAAAATACGAAATTATGGATGGTGCCCCAGTGAAAGGTATAAAACTATAAACATCCGATATTTTGATTTTGTAATTATAAACACTCAAAAAATTTCAGTTATACATATGAAAACCAAACATGACAATATTAATTCAGCGGCAATATTTTTTAATCCAAATAATTTTTCACTCGTATACGATATTGTGGGTTTCAGGTGAAAGTATACCAATTCGTGTGTTTTTGGCGGGTTACGATTTGACGCCTACTATGCGTGACATTAACAAGAAATTTTCCGTTCGATATTTTTTGAATCTGGTTCTAATGGATACCGAGGACCGACGATATTTTAAGCAGCAAGAGATAACATTGTGGCGTAAATCGGATAAAAATCGAAAATCAGCCATAACACAATCGACTAATCCGCATGTACCTTCGCATTTAGTTGGTTCTGATGGCGAAATAATGGTTAAACCGCAAGCACCAATATCCAGCATGTCATCAAACACTCATGTTAATAGCGATGGCGAAAACAGCAGTATCCGTGATGACAATATGAGTGGTGAGGCTGGTGAAAAAACAGTTGGTTTATTCCAAGAAGAGAGCCCAGATCATGGTAAACCAAGTTTATTGATGACGCAGACGTTTTGTTATTAACTTGATACAAAAATAGTAATCATTCTAATGAACAGTTGATACTTCATTTCATACAGAAGCTCAATCAAATTTGCCGTTGTCCTCAGAGGATGTCGCTGTATCTCCAAATCTGTGTGAGAGTGCTGCAAATACCACTACTTCTTTGCAAGTCGAAGAGAATGTGCCACAGCAGCGGGAATCGGGTGATGGCGCTTCAGCCAATCCAACAGAAAGTGAAACCAGTAGTGCAAACCAGATAAGAACAAAATCACGTACTGGATCATTATTTGACGATGACGAAGATGACGAAATGGAAAATGCTAACCAACCAGCAATGGCAAATTAGAGCTCCAATTTCTATTGTTTTTTTGTATTAGAAAATGGAAAAACATAGACATTTTAAGATTCAATAAATTCATCTCTTTATTCAAACCTGATACATTCGCATTGCGAAATAAAAAAGAAATAATTAACAATCCATAAATTTGAAATGAAGAAGTATCCATTTTTTGGACAAATTCATACAAATTAACATAGTTCTGTATTGGAAATTGATTTATTCAAATAGAAAAAAGAAATTTATCGATGCACATATGAATTTGGACAGAAATAAAATAAGATGAGCAGAGAGTTACTTACTCACAAATTTTTGCCTTTTATTAAATTGATTAATGTTTTCAGATACCAATAATTTTTAACAGACTTTTCATACAAAAATACCTAAAAAACTTATTTTTGTATGGGGAGCCGTGCCTTTATGGTATCGTATTGACGTGAAACTTTGCTCAGATTATTTTTTCCACAAAAGAATACGTTTTTACATCTTTATTTTTTATTTTGGTCCGATTCAAGTTTTTTGACGCTCATCAAGGATTTTTTGAATGATCACGATCGTAATACAATAAATGGTGCTCGTTTGACATTTGGATGATTCATCTGATTCAAATAATTCAAAGTTTTATAATGGTTTATGTACATCTGCTTACGAAAAGTTTATCTTACTGTAAAATATTACAATATCTCTCTTTTTAATAGATGGCGTTATATTTAACATGTTGCGATACAAAAAACTTTATATTTTTTATCATAATTATTTTATTATATTACTGTTTCTGTAAAAATGTAAGTTTACAAACATATTTGCACTGTATACTAGAGTGTTTCCCGACCCTCTCTTACAGTAGACTTTCAAGCGAATCACTTTCTGCGAGCGCCATCTCTTTCACGCCCTTGAAAACAATGAAGCTTGTAAACTTCGCAAATTTCTCATATATAAATTAAATAAGTTTTGCAATAGTAGCAACGAAAATAATTAATAGAATTTATTATAAATAAAAAAATTGAAGTAACAACACACAAATATTTTATGTTATATGATTCTCGTGTTTTGACTTATGAGATAGCTTTACGGTGTAGAGATATGTAGAGATGACAATTGGAGAAAATATTATTTTTGTATATCTGTCAAAATAAACAACGCAAACAACATGAAGAGAATATTTTTCAGATTAATTATCAGTATTATGCAAATAAAAAATTAAAAATGTTGCCAGTTCTTTTTTCTTCAAAAAACCTTAACGCAAATCTGCGATTCCATCCAAGAAAAATATTTTGTGTGTTGTTGTTCCAATTATTAATTATTATTTGTCGCTGCTGATATGATGACTTATTTACACTGCGGGCCCAGTCGGACTAAATTGTATACTTTTTGGATTTGTTCTATTCAAAATTAATAACAAATCCTGAGTTGATTTAAAGTCAAAAGATTATAACAATACTCAAAATTAATAACAAAATAATGAATTCATTTGATTTTACGGAGCAAAACATATAATGCAAAACGAACTGTAGCAAAACGAACTGTAGCTGTCACAAAAACAATACATGTACACAAGCGACACACGTACAAGCCATAACAACAGAGAAAAATATGCTGAGCGAACATTCTAATACATGCGCTCACTACTTAGCTTCATCGCTGTGATACTTTGAGCGTACATGTGATGTTCATGTATTTGTATTTTTTCTGTGACAGCTTCAGTTGACAATTTTGTTTTGCTCCGTAAAATCGATGACAATTAACAAAATGAATTTAAAAAAAAAATAATTTTGAGTATTGTTTTAATATTTTGAATTTCCTTCAGGATTTTTTTTAATCCATATGGATTTTTTATATAAAAAAATCGTAAAAGTATACAATTTAGTCCGACTGGGCCCGCAGTGTAATTTATACAATTTTGAAATAAAATTTGAAGAAAAAAATATATGAGAAATTTGCGAAGTTTACAAGCTTCATTGTTTTCAAGGGCATGAAAGAGATGGCGCTCCTTCAATGGAATCATCTTCAAATACATTGTCAATATAGGACGCAAGAGAGGGTCGGTGTTTCCCATATTCATAATAAAAAAATGGTATCCCAAGTCAGTATAATACTCTTTTCGAAGAGTGTACACGCTCTTCTCACACTCTTCGTACAGTTTTATTCGACTCCCTTCTCACACTCTTCTCACACTCTTCTCACACTTTTGCATAAAACACGTAATATATATACGTGTTTTATGCAAAAGTGTGAGAAGAGTGTGAGAAGAATGTGAGAAGGGAGTCGAATAAAACTATACGAAGAGTGTGAGAAGAGCGTGTACACTCTTCGAAAAGAGTATTATACTGACTTGGGATGTTTCAATTTAAAGAGCATAAAATTCTGTTTTAAATCGTAGCATTAATGTAAAGCACCGATTGATATTGACACTTTCCGAAGCAAAAAACTATTTAAAGCAAAAATTGTCTAATGTCTAAATATTGAATTAGTATTATTGATGTGAACCGAGCCTTATGACATTTGACGATCATTTCATTGGTTTTCGAAATGTCATAAACGCCGCTTCATTCATACCGAGAACACGATTGGCGTTGTACGAGGGTCACTATTTAAGTTTTTTCAAAAACATATATAAGACAATGGGGTTTCATCGAAAATGGTTTTATTGTTTTTCAAAATATTCGCCATGATGATCAATACACTTTTGCATTCGCTCGAACCATTTGTCATAGCATTCATGCCACTCCGAAAGTGATATCTCCAAAACGTGTGTTTTGAACGCATCAACTGCTTCTTCGGGCGATGAAAATCGTTGACCACGCAGTTTATTCTTCACGCTCGGGAATAAAAAGAAATCGTTGGGTGCCAAATCAGGACTGTACGGCGGATGACCCATTAAATCGATCTTTTGACCGGTCAAATAATCGACTGTTTGATGAGATGTGTGAGAGCTCGCATTATCATGATGAAGAATTATTTTGCGACGGCGGTTGTTTTTTCTTATTTCATCAAACACTTCGGGCAAACAAATGGTGGTGTACCAATCAGAATTGACGGTCTTACGAGCCTCTAGTGGAACTGTTGCCACATGACCACTTATCGCGAAAAAACAGGCGACCATTTGCTTCGCAACACTTCGAGCTCGAACAACTTTTGTTGGGTTATCTTCACTTTGAAAGACCCATACAGTCGACTGCTGTTTAGTTTCGGGCTCATACGCGTAGATCCATGATTCGTCACCAGTGACGATAAAATACACGGATTTTGAAACACCACGATTGAATTTCTTGAGCATTTGTTTACACCAATCGACACGAGCCTTTTTTTGAGCGATTGTCAAATTATGTGGTATCCAACGAGAGCAAATCTTTCTGACAGCTAAATGTTCATGTACAGTGAATCTAATTTTTTTGATAGACAAAATAACAAGCAAAGTAAGCAGAGAAACTCTCCACTAACATAGGATTCATATACGAATGGCGTGTGAGTGGAGTGTGTCATGCAATATTTTGTCTACCAAAAATATTAGATTCACTGTAAAATCTTAAATACGCTGGTCGCACTAATGCCCAGGGATGCCTCAATCTCGTGATATGTTACATGACGATCTTCCATTATCATATTTCTGACAGCATCGATGTTTTCTGGTACAAAAACTGATTTTGGACGACCTTCGCGGAACTCGTCGATGAGCGATAGGCGACCGCGCTTGAATTCGTTGTACCAATTATAAATTGTCCGAAGACTTGGTACTTCATCGCCAAAGGCCAAATGAAGTTGATCAAAACACTGTTGTTGTGATACACCCAATCGAAAGTGGAAAAAAATAATCGCTCGAAAATTTTCACGAGTAAAATTCATTTTTTGGCTGAGACGCAATTTACATGTTACGGTAAACAATACAAATAACGATCGAATGACAAAACGTTCTGAGAACGTTTATGCTACAAAATGTTAAACTTAACGAATATGACAATGGTTTGCATCGGGCAATACTAAAACATACATATTGAAGAAACTTAAATAGTCGCCTACGTAAATACCAAGTCAATAAATCAATATTACATTTTATTACGATATAAACTACAGCAGCGTAAATTCCAATTCAACGCTTCAATTATTCTACGCTTTTGCTGATAATACATATCATTTTCGATACACGTGCGTTTTGTATCGATTTGATCCGAATTTTTCAATACTTGATCAATCGATTGATCGGGAGTTCACACACAAAAAACATCCAAAAATAAATGAGACTTCGGATAAACTGAATTTTATGTCAAATCGTCTCATATTGAGGTTAGGTGTCTTTTGTGTGCAGACAGATTGTTGAATTCAAGTCACCAGTGTGAGTCACCTCTACTTCTTATTGTGAAATTCATTTTTATTTCATAGCACGTAATATAAGCCATTTATAATGTGAAATATATTTAAGTAGTTTAATAATTATTTAATGTTGAAAATATCATTTTATGAAAAAAGTAATGAATTTCACAATTATTCTGCAGTGCATAATTCTGTTGCGTGAGGTGGTGAAATTCATTTCAAGCGGTGATACCCATTTTGAATTGGTTCCATTGTTTAGAGAAGAGAAACAGTTAATAGCTTATTGTTTGAGCTCAAATTGAATCTGAATACTCAATAGTAAGCGTTACATTGTTTTCTTCTCTAAATCACTGCCATTGTTATCAATCCGAAGATTTGTGTCATTTGTGTGTGCTGCATCATTTTGTGTGTGTACCAAAAAAGGAGATAGATTCTTGTTCTGTTGTCGCTCGAAAAAATTGAATTTAAAACATGTGTGTGCGTGTGTGCATATTTGTGCAGGAGATTTATTCATTCGTAAATTTCTATATAAAAATATCGATATTTTTGTGTCTCAGCCGGGATCATTAATATGAAAAATCATTTAGTAAAAAATATTGATATGGATCAATGAAAATGTCTAAATATCGCCAATTCAATAGTATTCGTTTTTAAACTAAATCGAATGTGTGTGTGTTTTTTTTTTCAATAGGAAAATGGCAAATCGTTTCAAGCCATCCATACCAGCGAAGGGAGAAATGAAGGATGAGATTACGACGATCAAATGTGCGCTGAAGACAATCATTCGCCCACAATTCCAGCAAGCACTGATGAGCAAAATAACGGACCTGAGTTTGCAAGCCACTTCAATTTGCGTTTTGGGCTCATTGCTTTTCTTGTTCGAGGTGCAAAAGGCGTACGAACATAGGCATTGAGAATAATGATTTCGCATTCTTTGGTGAAAGTGGAGAAAAAAAGATCCAACTCTGCTTTAACCAAGTGCTATGGCATAAAAATCAGCCACCGAAACCGAAGTGGACGTACAGACCACGAGGAACAAGGCCACGAGGACCACGAGCAGAGCTGCCACGTATCGACCCTGAATTCAAAGCAATCGTCGAAGGTAATAATAATAATAGTTGATTTATTTAGATATTTTGAACAATTTCATCCCGTTTATAAAATAGCGAGTTTTGACTACACATTTGACAAACATATTTCATTTTTAGGTCTTGACGACTACCATCGTATCGATTGGCCCAACAATGGCCTCAAGCATTTGGCCAATCAATACACAGAAAACGTCGTCACCAATTCAACAACGCATCCTAACAAACACATCACCCAGTACTTTAAACTGAAAGTGTTCGAATTGAACACAGACGCAGAGAAATTTTTGCCAAGTGACATCGAAATCGTTCTAAGACTGATCATCAAAGAAAAAAACATCAGAGTGCCAATTCACGATCCAAACAAACTCGAACGGTGTGGCATGTTGTATGACATGGTGAACGACCTGAATGTGTTTCCAGAAATCGATCTGCATGATTCCACGACTGACGAAAAACATTGGTTTAAGGCCATGCCAATGTTCCTATCTATACAACGCGAGATAGAAGAGTACAATTCGACGTGGCCACATCAGGGCCGACCCAAACGAATGAAAAGAAAGCGCAAAAAGTCAAAGAAGAAACGTAAGTGGTGCCCCAAGCGCAAACAAATGCTCGACGATCCAAACTTTCGGCCATTCATCCGGAATTTAGCAGTGGTGTCGATGTGTGATTTTCGCCGAAAGCACTTCAAAATTGACTATTCGAGTATGCACCAGGTGCTGTCTTCGCAAAAATTGCTACCGAAAGTGGAAGTTGAGAATAAAAACGGTAAAACCAGCATGATAAATATTCCACAAAGGGATTTTAACGATGCGAGTGATCATTGGTGGAATCAGTATTTCTACATGCGGAAAATTCGGCGATTCGTGCGCGGAAAAAAGAAGTTTGACTTTTCCATAAACACCGATGGAATCGCTGTGTCTCTGCAGTACTCGGCCAAGAAGAAGACAAATAAGGAAGAAATCGACCGTTCTCGTCGCATCATTCAAATGATTATGGATAGAAAATTCAAAAATTTTGCGGGCATTGATACAGGCGTGCGGAGTTGGAATACCACAGTAACACACAACATTAAAAGTGGAAACTCAGCAATAGACTAGTGGTTAGCGTGCCAGGTTTGTGAGCATGAGGACACGAGTTCGATTCTCGGTCAAATTTCGTCCGGTATTTTTCCACCGTGATTCGCTCAGGGATTATCAGTGGTTTAATGAGGAGAAATTTGAGCCGGGTCTCGGACTTGTGGAGTGCTTCGGAGAGCACTTAAAGCCGTCGGTCCCGTGTGTGTGCACAACGAATAATGGGTTCAGCATAGACACACGTAAAATGGAGTGCCTTTACGTTAGGTTGGTGTCTTGGATATGTCAAATATCCAATACGTCAACCGTAAAAAGGTAGTGGTGAACTACTGGTGAATATACCGGTAAATCAGTGGTGGTAGCATTCCTACATTGAATAGAGGAACCCAGCGCCATCTGGGGAAGCAATGGTCTAGGCCCTGCCGAACAGCTATGGTCACAGAAGGGCCCTGCCGAACAGCAAGGGCCGCTGAAGACCATGCTGAACAGCAAGGGCGACTGTGCCGAACAGATGGAACCCCGGCAGTCTAGTAGCATCATAACTCAAAACGGGCATCTTGCAATAGGTAAATTAACCTGAGCAACGAGAAACTATGGATATTACTGAAAAGTAGACCTAGTATGCTCCCCGTACAAATCCAATAATCCAATAATCCAATAATCCAATAAAAGTGGAAAAGAAGTAAGTTATGTATACATTTAATATGTTGAATGTGTTCCAATGGAAAATACACTGCGTAAGTGCCAAAATTCAATAACTTTTCATTTTTTTAATTATTTTCAGACCAACTTCGTAATGTCGAGCAAGCAGTTTCACTGGCAGACAGGTCAGAATGTGCGAAATGCCAAAGCAAAGCGTTGGACCAAAAAGTTCATCGAAGAGGAGCGCTGAGACAGACAAAAACCGTGAAACGTACCCGGTGATGCCATCGCCAAAAGGGTCACATTGGCTGGACTACATCAAGCACCGAGTCAAGATGATGAAGCATGGAATCTGCGCTTACTCGACTGCCAAGCACACTCGACTCGCCTTGGACAAACACATCAAAAGCAGTAGTGTTGTCGACAATTGGGTGGAAAAGGTTACCGATAAGCAACCGACTTTGTTTTTTTTTGGTGCTGATGGCGAAATACCACCTGACAGCCCAATAAGTATCAAAAAGCACGTGCGCTGTCCAGGAGTTCGTAAGACTTTGAGGTCAATAAAGAAGCGCCGAAATTGTGTCATAGATCTGGTGGACGAATGGGGAACATCTCAAAGATGTATGTGCCGATTTCAAAACCAGAACAAAGCGGCCAGATTCAAGAGATGCCGGTGCATACCCGACGCTAGAACATTGCTGCCAACAAAAATTGTGTCAAAGTTGGGCAAGGCAGATTTATCGGTATTCTAACAGTTGCAACGCGCCATGAATGAAGCATCGGAAGAAGACGAGCCTTTATTTTCAAAAGTAAAAAGTTACTATAAAAACTGGCAATTAAACCTCGAATGCTCTGTGACTTGGCATCGTGACGTCGTGGCTGCTAAGAACATTCTGCTGAAAGGTAAGGCTAATTGACGCACAATTGCGCTTGAATGATGGTTTAAGAAGATTCATTTGTTTGATTTTTCAGGACTATGGACATTGCTGGGACTTCCGATACCGGAGGCGATCAATAGATATTTGTACAAAGCCCGCGAAGCTGTCGCTGAGGCTGCCGAAGTAGCCGCTGCTGTCGCTGAAGCAGCCGCTGTTGCTGCCCCCAACGTGGATATTGATGTAGAAATGTTCGAGTATGACCAGCAACCAGCTGATCATGCTGTCTAATCAGCACAACGCAAACAAAAAAAAATTAAATGTAACATTAGTTATTAAGGCTATCCCGATCATGTGGGATAGTAGCGTAGCAAAAGGTTGACACCCCATTTGGTTGATGTTGACTGCGCAGGAGTACAAACGGAGTGTTTTTTCATTGTAAGTATCATTCGATTTTGAAAAGAATTTTTTGCTTCGGAAAGTGTCAATATCAATCGATGCTATACATTAATGCTACGATTCGAAACAGAATTTTATGCTCTTTAAATTGAAACATACCATTTTTTTATTTACAGATATGAGAAACACCCTACTATACACACAGAAAAATTTTTATTAGCTACATATAAATTTAGGATTTATACGAAAACTCGTGTAAAATGTTCATATTTCATATAAACAGGGACTACCACGACATATTTATAGTATGATATTTATTTATAATCAGTGTTTGCTTTAGATGACAATCTATTTTTAGATACTCAGATAAGATAGATAAGATGGTATCTAAACATCTCATCTAGATAGTTCAAAATTTGACCATCTAATCTAATATCTATCTAGAAATAATAACGATATCTAAACATCTTTTCGTTAGATCGCGAAAAGATGAAAATCAAAATCGTATGGAAGAAAGGATATTTTAACCTTCATTTGAATTGACAAAAGGTTCAAAATCAATATGAATGCATATAAAACGGCTAATGTAATAAACTGTATTCGAAACAAAAAATATGTGCAAATAAACAATATATTCTTTAAAATTTATTTGTAGTATCTGTATTTCAGTATGGATTTTCTAGCGTCGTCGATATAATATTTTACATATAAAAATGTAACATATTTAAATTGGCTTTCACTTGTTTTCATCTGAAAAGTATCTAGAAAAAATACTTAGATAGATACTATATAGATGGTTTCTAGATAGTTTTTTTAGATACTCATCTTTATCTATAGCTAGATGGTTTTCAAAAAAACTGTTTTTATCTATATCTTATCTAGATTAATTTACACCATCTAAAATAAACACTGTTTATAATACTTAGAAATAAGTCTTATTTCGTTGCGTGCACGCTACAATGCAAACGCACGACTCTGCTTGTACAATGTACATACACAGAGATGAAGAGCGCAAAGGCTACTCTGTGTTCTATGTGTATAAACAGAGTCTTACGTTCTTGCTGCTGTGTGCGCACAACGAACAATATAATTATCTTGTTCGCTGTTTGTCATTCTTACAAGCAGCTTGATCGTTTAAATGAATGCAACGGATTTTAATGTCAATAAAAATTTTTTTTGCTTGAAAAATTTAAAAATATTCCAAAGGAATTCAAATCAATTGGTGTTGTGTTTGTTTTGTTCATGCATATCATATTTTTTCGATTTTGTGAGTGTAATACTCGCACTGGTGTAATACTCGCAAGAACTAACGAAAATATATCAATAAGATAAAAAAATGAGAACTTATCCGTCTGAAATTTAAACTTATTAACAATACTCGGCGATACTCGGTCTGTGAATAAAGCCATGCAATTATCGCGCCACATTCACAACACAAAACATAAAAAATTATTTATTTATCATTTATTAAGCATGCAAGCACCCAGTACAAATCCGTCGAACAAGTCGACGACAGCGATTTGACAGGTGGACCACGCGAGAAACTTATCAATCCCTATTAACAAAACTACACTTGACAGTTATTGTATTGAATTTTGTATGGGATTTATTTATTATATAAATATAAAAAAAAAATGTGAAATGTGAATAAAAAAGATAAAAAATTAATGTCGTGACGAATTATGTGAAAAAATAAATATTATATTTCAATTACTCAGCGGAAAGTATGCTTGAATACGCGTATACCGCTGCACAGCGGTACCAATATATACAAACACATAAAGGTCGACCCGCTTTAAAAAACATTTCTATTTTTTACACCTAATGACGGCTCATTATTTTTGTTTTTATTTTATTAATAAAACTAAATTAAAATTAAAAAATGTAAGTTTTTTTACGAATGCGATTGCGTGGTATTATTGCTCTGCTGTTCAGCAGGAACATATGGAGGTTAGGTGTCCTCCTGAGTCAATTTTATTGTATTATTTTTTTGTAGTTCGTTTATTTAATGCACGTTTGAAAAATTAACAAAAAACAAATGAGGAAAATTGATTTATTGTTTTATTTTATTTAAAATATTTTCATTTATAAGTTTCATCGTTGTTCCAAATTTTCTGATATTTGTATCAAATGTGGAACAAAAGAGTATCATATAGCGAACAGAATATTTGAAACAACGATGAAACTTATAAATGAAAATATTTTAAATAAAATAAAACAATACATCAATTTTCCTAATTTGGTTTTTGTTAATTTTTTAAACGTGCATTAAATAAAAGAACTACAAAAAAATAATACAATAAAATTGACTCAGGAGGACAAATAACCTCAATATATTCCTGCTGCTGCTGCACAGCAGAACAATAAAACCACGCAATCGCATTCGTAAAAAACTTACATTTTTTAATTTAGTTTTATTAATAAAATAAAAACAAAAATGATGAGCCGTCATTAGATGTAAAAAATAGAAATGTTATCCAAAGCGAGTCGACCTTTGTGTGTTTGTATATATTGGTACCGCTTTGCAGCGGTATAGACGTATGAAATCACACTAGCCGCTGAGTAATTGAATTATAATATTTATCTAGGGGGATTCCGCGCTCTTAAATATGAATAAATATGAACAAATTCGGGGGATTTCAACAAATTCAAGAGATGTTAACACAACTTTACATTTTTTGGGAGATATTTTGAGATTTTCTGAACTGCAATACCGACAATGTTGAACTTGACAAGAACAGGGAATGAAGAAGTGGTGAATTATTATGACAGCTTCTAACAATAGTACCTTACTCTATAGTTCAGTAATTTTTGGTGTAGGGCGGCGCCACCGTATGTACATAGAAATTTACATTTAAACTAACGCCATCTAACGTGTTTGATAATTTTTTCCCCAAAAAAGTGGCATTTTTTCAATATTAAAAAATATATTGATTTGTTCTGATTAACTATACTTTGTTCATTTAAATTACTTAATGACGCTCTATAGATTGCACAGACAGCCAAAATATCTTTAATAATTTTTGGAATTTTATATTCGTAGAAGTTTTGATACTCACGCCAGAACCGTTCCATTGCAAATGGCACATTTCAATTTTGCTTTGTAATGCAAAAACTTACACACATGTAACAAACAACTACCATGACAGCTTAGAAGCTGTCACAATAATTCACCTATTATAAATATTTTAATGTCGCTAATGCAGTCTGCAGCGCCAAAAATTCACCACCATTCATTATTATCTCATATTCGCCCATATTCTAAAAATGTCAAAATATTCTACAAAATTTGAAGTATCCTACATGGTGGATATCGGTGAATACTTACGGATATTGTCAGATACGGTGAGATATTTGAATTTTTATGAGATTTTAACACACCGAAATTATACCCCATAAGAGACTGTATAAAATGCAAAACTGTAGCACTGCTAGCGCCACTACGGACAACTATGGAGCTCTAGTCCGTTGGTTGCAACTGAGCAAAAGTCTTTTCACTATTTGGCGGCAACTTAGTGTAGATTACATTGTAATCCGTCGTGGCGCTAGCAGTGTGACAGTTTGGGCATAATTTCGGTATGGATTTTAAGAATGAAGTTAAATTTTGGTACATAAATACGCGCGGAATCCCCCTAGATATTTATTTTATTACATAATTCGTCACGATAATAATTTTTTTTATCTTTTTTGTTCACATTCACATTCTTTTTATATATTTCTAAATAAATAAGTCTCCAACAAAATGTTATACAATAATTAATATATAACTTGCTTGACAGCAGATTTCGATAGGGACAACTAATGACATTTGTGATTTGACATCTCGGCCACGGTTTGGCCTGTCTGCATGCAAGTTTTTATGTTTACACTCTATTTAGAAAGAATATTTGTCAGTTCAAGTCGTCTTTATCTTCAAACAGATTCTGTTTATACACAGAGAACACAGAGTAGCCTTTGCACTCTTCGTCTCTGTGTATGTACAAGCAGAGTCGTGCGTTTGCATTGTAGAGTGCACGCAACGAATTAAGACTTATTTCTAAGTATTATAAATAAATATCTTACTATAAATATGTCGTGGTAGTCCCTGCATATAAATCAATGAAAATTACAAAAAATGTCAGTTTATTTTTCTGTGTATATAGTAAATTAAAAAAAAACATACAGAAATATTCTTTGTAAAATACCCGATTGAATACATTATGGGAAGTCACATGATATTAAAATGCTCCACGCGAAGAGTGTGAACAATCTTTCGAAATATCAAAATGTCTTATTGAAATGTCTTTTTAATCAGTAATAATATTTTCCATTGCAAAATTAAAATAAAAACAAAATACACTGTCAACGTACTTGGAAGTAATGCTTGATGTATCGATGTATAAACAAGTGGATTTCGAAAAATATTTCAAGCCTCCGGGGGTCCACCGAAAAACTAACCAATTTAATGAAAATGTGTGATTTGAATTGGAGTTATTGAATATATTCATACATTATGTAGGTATAATACACGAACTGAGAAAAAATGTGGTATATTTTATTCAATTTTGGGAGATTCAATATAAAATCTACCAACAACGAATTAGATTTATTATTTTTGAGATCTAGTATGAGGCATTTTTTCCAAAAGAGACTATTTTTTAATAAATTTTACCAATTGTTTCATTACATTCAAATGAATCTGTGGTTTCGAAAAGTTGATGAATGTAATGAAGCAGTTGGTAAAATTTGTGCAACAAATAGTATCTTTTGAAAAACATGCCTCATAGATCTCAAAAATGGTAAATCTAATTCTTTGTTGGTTGATTTTATATTAAATCTATCAAAATTGAATTAAATATAGCGCACTTTTCCTCTCTGTGCATAGGAATTCGGTAGTTTGATATTCTAGAGCTACTATTCAAAACGTGGATCGAGTATTCTCGAGGGAGAAACCACGGATTCTAATATGTGCTAATTTTTTCTAATATTTCTAGTAAAACGCCATATGTACATGTACATTTGACATCTTTCTAATATGTTCTAGTTTTTCTAGTATCGAGTTCGTGGGTAACCCCAAGAGTATTCTGCCTATGTTTTTTTGAAAGGACATCTCAAGAGCTACAAACTGAGCAATTTTAATCAAAATCGTAAAATTTGAGCTCAAGTTACATCATACAAGCAAGATTTACACACGAATTCTTAGAAAAAATAATTTTCCTGGACGAATCTTCGAAAAAGAAAAACATATCTGTGAATTGAGCTCAGGAATTCCAAAAAAATTGGTTTCAACTCATGTGCTGTGTGTAATACCGGACATGGCTTACTATTCTAAACTATTGACTGATGATAGCTGATATCTTGGTTAAGTTATGTCACAAACAAACTGACCAAAAACAATTTTAAAGCTTGATGATACATCAAGCAACACTCAACGATCCAAAATAAGTGAAATAGTTCTGACGTCGACCACCAGCAGAATAACAGCAAACAACATACGATAACATGATAAGGAATAAATTTAAAAAAACTCAATAATAAATGTAATTTAATATCAAATGGCGTGAATGGTTCATAAGAGCTAAAACAATTATTACCAATAACACCAATATAGCACCATATGGAGCTCAAATACAAAAAAGAAATCTTCTTAGAAATTA